AAAAGGTCCAGAAGGAGACACAAAACAAACACAATGTGACACAAAACCAACACAAAATGCTGCAAAACATCCAGAAACAGACGAGAAGTCGTGTCAACGAAACACAAAATGATCAACAGACACACAAAAACACACAAAGTTACACAAAAGAGCTGAAAAGAGACTCGAACCAGTCGAGAAACGAACGGTGAGCTGTGTTTGTTTGTTTGTTTGTTTGTTTGTTTGTTTGTCTGTTTGTTTGTTTGTTTGTTGTCGGTCTGTGAGCAGAAGTCCGTCAGCAGCTTCCTGTCTGCGGCGGCGGCGGCGGCGGCGGCCATGTTTGAGGCGAGCCGGCATTGTTGGACGCGACACGCTCGATTTATCATCAGTTGTGAGCAGGACGGATGAGTACACTTCCAATTTAGTGGCGCTGCGTCTCCATTCATCACCGGCCTCATCATCCATCATTTCCGCCGCCTCCGTCCTCAGCAAACACTCCTTCATAAGTTTAACGCAATTAATCTTAGTGCGCAGATAATTTCGTATTAATGAACCACGACGTTTATTTGATTATTCCTTTGATGAAGTTGCGAGCGGCGCCGCTGACGGGATCGGTGCCGCCCGCCGAGCATGAAAGTGGGACGGTTCTGTTTCCTTTGTGTTTTCTCTGCTTTCCTTCTGTCTTCATACGAGCCGCCTGAGAAATTGGAAAAGTTGCAGCGACGGATCGGAGGTGACCTGGAAACAAAAGCAATCAGGGCTGCAGCGGGCCGCCGGCGCCGCCATCAGCCCCGCGGCCCGCCACGCTGTCAATAAAAGCAGAAATACCTTGTGAGGCTCCGGGCCGAGGCCAAAGAGGAGTCTGCAATTTCACACCTTCATGTACCTCGGCGGAGGACATTTTTCATGAGACTGAAAGCATCCCGGGCCCGATTGGACATGATTGGTGTGATAGGAACCAGCAGCAGGTCAGGAGCTGCACAATCACCGGCCAAATAAACCAGAACCCGGCCACAGATCCATCACAGAGGAGCAGGACCGGTCCTGACCAATTACAGCGTATGCTAATCAGGAAGCTCCGTGGTCCGTCTGACCCGGTTCTACTGCCACTGGTACCAGAACCGCTGCTGCAAATACAAGTACTGCATTTAGGTAGAACACTGAGGCCCGTTCTGCTCGGTTCTGTTCTACAGCTGACCCGGTTTCTACTGAAATCATAAAAACACGTTCTGTTGCTCAAACTGTCAAAATCAACTTTATTCACATAAAAACTTTCCTGAAGCTCGTTTTCGTCACTTTGGACGATTTAAACTAGTTTCAGAGACATTTGGACTCATCCTAGACGTCCTGGTTCCACCTGGTTCTGCTGTAGAAGCTCCTGATGATGCTGTTCTCTGGATGTTCTCCTGCTGGAATGTTCCTCTTCTTCATCTGGTCAGCCAGTATCCTGGTTCATCCTCAGACATTCATGGAGCTTCTAGAAACGTCATCAACACCTTCTGCCCTCATGCAGCCCCACATCATGATGCTCCACCTCCGTGCTTCACTGTCAGGACCATGATCCACTGTGGTGGTCCTGGTCAGGTTCACACCAAACATCTGGACTCCATGTGAGCCCAACACATTGATCTCCATCTGAGCAGAGGATGTTCTCCAGCATCCATCAGGCTTCTGTTCATGTTCTCTGGTGAACTTTGATGTGGAAGTTTAGCTGTGAGCAGCAGCCAGGTTTAGTTCTGCTCCTCCGTCCATAGAGGCTGATGTTCTGAAGTGTCCTTCACACTGTGTGAGCTTCACACTAACTCTGGTCTCCATTGATCAGCCCTGTGCCAAGTCTGAAGCAGCTGCCTTTGTCTGGTGTCCACAGCTCCATAGTGACAGTAGTTGACTGTCCGTGGAGTCATTGTAGGAGGACGACCACTGCAGCCCTGATCAGTGCTGCTGTGGCTCCTTCTGGACCTCCTGGTTCCTGCTCACACTGGGCTGCACTGGGTTCTAGCTGCTCACTGATCTTCTGGATCCTTCTCCATCTTTGTCCAGTCTCTCAGTCAGATGTTTCTCCTCCTCTGTTCAGGTCTTCTCCATGTGGAGCCATGATGCAGACATAGATAGACACAGTCCAGAGGTCCAGAACTGAGAAGGTTCTGCTGCTCTCAGCTCGTTGTAGAACCATGTTCATGCAGGTGGACTGATGGGAACCACAGCTGGACTCACTGTGGTTCTCTGAGGTTCTACTCTGGGCTGGATTTAATTAAATTGTTTATAGCGAGTTCTGATTAAATATTCTGCTGTCGTTAGGAGCTGGTCCAGGTCAGAGTAACTTAAAACGTAAACGTACTCGAGTACTGTTCATTACTTTAAGTTCCATTCAGTCCTCATTCGTTGTTCCTTCAAAGTGAATCATCATCATTATTCTGTCACATTTAACGACATAAAACATGAAATCATTAATAAACTAATAAAATAACAGTAAATGAAAGTACTCGAGTACTTTAGCTGCAGGACTTAGTTACTGTCCAACACGTTTTCGTCTCCCACTCGCTGTCAGGAGCTTTAGGTGTTTTCTTGGTGAAACACTTTGAGGATGAGCTGCAGCTGAAGCTGGAGCTCAGAGGACCAGCAGCAGCTCTTCAGCACCAGCATGAACGAGATGAGCTCGGAGCAGTGAAGCACTTTATAAATAACAGGAACTATTATTAATATCATCAGAATGAAGCATCGTCATGTTTTAATTAAAGAAAACATCCTGAACTTGTAGCTGAAGGTGTGAAAATAAAACGTTTTGCAGTAAAGTTCCTAATGATTGGTAGGATGAAACAAGAATAAAGTGAGTTCTTGTGATGAGAACAAACCATCGAGTGTTTCATGTGTCAGCGATAACGAGTGACGCTGAAGCTCGTCAGTAACCAGCAGTGTTCTACGTTCCTCTGCTGCTGCTTTCATTTGTTCTGTGAAACGTTAGTTGTGTTGATCTGAAGCCTTCATGTTGGTGGCGTGTGGAGCAGTCAGACGAGCAGGATGTGGACGGTCAGTGTGGAGCTTCCTGTTTCCAGCTGCACCGTCACATCAGCTCATCTTTAAATCACCTGTTTTCTGTTCATAATGTTTATTATCACTGTGTTTTATTTTGTGGATGAGTTCTGGCAGCTGGTGTCTGAGCGTCGGTACCGTTCCTCGGTACCGTTCCTCGGTACCGTTCCTCCGGTCCAGACGCTGCAGCAGCTTCCTCCTGTTTCTGGTCCCGGCAGCTCGCTGGGCGCTCCGGCTGCGTATCGATCCTCGGCATCACATACATTAGAGCGGCAGCACAGAATAGATGGCAGAACAATGTCTTTAAAGGCATTACACTCCAACTAATGGTGCGTCGGAGGAGCAGCCGCAGTCATTTAGGCCCGCGAGGCTCGGTTCCCAGCACTGGCCATTTAAAATGATGTCCTGCAGCCGCTACACTCACTTGGATTCAATTTGGGAATGTATTCATATTTACTTAGTGTACCTGCATTGCATTTGTATAGATCAGCCGGGGGTAAGAGTAGAAGTGAGCAAATCGAATCAGCATATGTGGACACGCTGCCGGAGTCCAGGGCCGGGGTCAGAGCCATGCCTTTTATGATGTCCCCCCGAAATCCATCCGAATCACATTAAATTGGATATAAAGATGTGCAGACACATACATCACAGTAAATGGTGCGCCGCAGCCAAGAATCCCACCTCAACAATCGGGTTAGAGAACCGGCTTTAGATCCTATTAATAATTCACAATCCTGTTAGAGGAGAACAAACATTTCTGTTCAAGCAATTTGAGTCGTGGGATTGTTATTGGGCGAAGGCGGCGGCGGCGGCGGCGGCGTGAGATCTGAGAGGCTGTGAAGTGTGAGCCGCCGTGTGCTGCAGAATATCGCCGCTTATTTCACAGTGTCTGATTTCTTTATTAAAGCTCCGTCACAGGAAACAAGCTCCACATCTGCTGCTCCACGGCCCCGTCCACGCTCTTACTCTGAAGGAGCCGCACTACACAGGCTCTTA